ATATATAAAATATTATATAAAATAATTTTACTTCTTGAGATATATATATGAATAGTTTTCCCATATTTTTTTCTACAAATAATGTACTTCTTTTATATTTAATAAGTTAATCATCTATACAAATGTGGCCATTAATCTATATCTCGGATTTTTTCTTAAACATAAAGCTATTTAATTTTATTGTTTTGTTAAGAGCGCAAAAACTGCACTCTAGAATTTTACGCGCAATTATCATATGTATATTTATATCAAATGCACTATCAGTTTCATCGTCTTATCGTAAATGTTCCATTAATTAGTTATTGAGTAATCGATAGAGCAATTTTTTAATCGCATGTCGGCAGCTAATCTGTGCAAATAATTAAAAACGATAAAATTATCTTGTCACTTAATTATAGATTAAAATCGAGACAGAACTTTCAATATCCAGATATATCGCAATAATAGCATATATCTTGCTCGATACAAGCAGTGCATCGATTATAAAATCACGAGTGTTTCATGTTTATCCACATGATTTACGTCTCTGTGTTTCTCTATATAAACAAGTACTTATATTATTTTTATCTTATAAACAATTTGCGTGTTTCGGAATTGCAATGGTTTTGATCAATAATCAATCTTACTCAATCGTTTACCAAAAAATAAATAAAAATAGAACACAATAAACGTTTTTTTCAATTCGATGACTTATTGTCAGATGCTAAATTTTCTACACAAATTAACTTGTAAATTTATATAATAGAAAATATAAGTTTGTACTTATACTTGCTTAAGTAACAATATTTTGCCGGATGCCACCTTTATTGTCTTCAAGCAACACGTTTGAAAGTGTCTCCAATGATCCGCCTTTCGACTTTTATATGTGCGCCGTTTTTCAAGGATTATAATATACGTGAGATGCATGCAAAGTAACAGAATGTGTTAATTTGCGTTAATTTGCAGATGCAGAATAAATTATTTTTTATCTCTAGAGAGCTAAATGAAGCACGCTATAGGGTGTCCTACATTCATCGTTTACCTTGATAACATATACGGGTCCTTATCAGACGCGTTGTGCGAACACTATACGTCACTTAAGAATGAGCGAAAACTTGTGATTAAACTTCGGATTAGATTAAGATGACCTGTTTTTTCAGTTTAAAATAATCTGCACGCGTTTTGCGTTTGTTGCGAGACGTATTTATTAACAATGCTTTACAAGGTCTCATTCGTGCCGCGCGCACGAATATATCTAATAAATCTATATAGTAACAACTAAAAATTTACATATTTATTTATTTACGTAACATAACATTATATATATACACATTTGTTTAGAATTATTCAGAAAAAACGGCTTCTATACAAATTATCGACATTATAATCTCTCAAAATGTACGCATTATGCACGCGCGAGATACGCCTTACTTGACACACTAGTTTAATTAGGAACGTTTCGATCTACATTTTCAAAATTATGTCTGAAAAATTGCAGCATCGTAGAAAACGTACACAGCATTCACAATTCTGATTCGTTTATCGCTTACAACATTCTTCTCCCAGCATAACAGTATAAACTTACAAATTAATTGTTTTAAGGTATCTGTGTGACCAAGTGAAAAATTTCTGTAATGTATCAATTAAGAAATCAATGATTTTGGAAAACGTTATATACATATAAATATACTCGTATAATGTATCATATCTTTTATTATATAT